TCTAATATTTAATATATTATTATTTAATTTATTTTGTACATTTCTTTTTAATTGTAGCTATAATATCTAAGTTGTCAGATGCACTAGTCATTGCCCAAGGAATGTATTTTACTATTTCCTGTTTGACTGTATGCAAGTATTGCATTATTATATACAAATTTCATAATAGTTCACAAGAACGAAATTTAATAAAACAAACTGTTTAAAATAATGAATCTTTGGAAAGATTCTTTAACTTATATAAATTCAGGGTCTTTGTATGTTTATAAAATTATACATTACAAGTATCTCTTATAGTTCTTATGGCCTGTAAACTATTTGTATATACACATACATGCATATATATCATAGAAAAAAACATGAGATTTAAATATGAACATATTTTCCGCAAAGTGTGTTAATGTGTCCTGATTAGGATGTATGTGAATTTTGTAAACACATAAATAATATTAATCCCAATTAATATTTATTAAGTATTATCAAATAAGTTTAAGCACCATCACAGTTGGCCCTATCTATTTACATAATCGTTAGTTTCGATATATCTACATTCCATTTTATAGTAACGATCATCTATATGGTTATACAATTTAAAAATTTTTTCACCATTTAATATAGTACAATTTGATAAAAAGAAAAGCAAGGACAAAGTTCTCTATACGAAAATATTCTGCAATGATCTATGCAATTTATCTTATTATGATGTTCAGTGGCTGTAGTATTTATTTATTTATTTTTTGTATTATTTAATTAAGTTTATTCTTATATTTAAGCTCACACAGTATTAATATGAATGGATACCATAAAATAATACAATACAATGTTATATTTTCATTAGTTTTCAAAGTCTACTCTTAGATCAATATTAATTTATAAAACAAGTGTAATTTTTGTGATACTTTTGAGTTTCTATAAAATACCCTAGAATGAATGATTAATTAAAGAAGTAATGTTGGTAAATTAGATTACATGAACAGATTGTGAATGTGATAATGCTTATTGTGCATAGCAAACTGTTAATAAGTTCACTCCTCTACCTCAGAAACTATACATGATTTGGGATGAAATCTTTATAAATTGTATTATATTATTTTAATTATTTTATTCATATCAGCAACCAAAAAGAAGCTACATAAAATCCGTTTTAACATAATGTAAATATGATGTATAAAATTTGATACCACTATTGTGGTTAAATGCATAAGAATATTTCACATCTGAAAAAAAATTCTAATATGCTTTTAGCATCTACATTGTAAAAATTCTTGTATTAAATACATACATAATTTGTCATCACAAACTATTTGTCTCTTTTAAGTAATTATGAAACAATACTATTTAACAATACTAATATTTAATTTAGTAAAAGCTACTTCTAGAAATTATTATAGCCAAATTATTTATGATGTATATATATATATATTTATTTATTTTACTGAGAGAGATATCATAACATTTATCGAGTGTAGTCAAAAGTAGCTTTTCTAAACTTTTATACAAAAATGTATACAGAATAGATCTATATAAGTTACACAGGGTGTCCTGTAACTAATGATACAAACGAGTAGGGGTGATTTTACATGAAAAACTAATTTTAAGTCGAGAATATATAATAAAATTTTTCATATAAAGTTTTGTTTTCAAGAAAAATAAATTTGAAAATTTGTAAAAGTACGGGTATACTTAGAAAACAAAGCCTTATACGAACGAATTTTATTTTACTTTTTCGATTTAGTTTTTCATGTATCATAGAATCATCCTCGTATGTTTATACCACCAGTTAAGTGCACACGCTGTATATGTATATGTATAGCTAAAGTTATATATATTAAGATTTAATTGTATTATTAAATCAAATCGTAGAAACCCTAAGTTTTATTCGAAATAACTAGGCGTTTTTGGGAAAGCATATAAAAAGAATTTTATTATATAATGAGACTAGTAGTTTTAGAAAATAACGAGGTTATACATGAATCCACAAAAGGCAAATAGTTAAAATATGAGATAGAAATTTGATCCGTTTTTAAATTATGCTTTTCTTTCTACAACAATGCTCGTATTTATCCATTCTTTTTTTTCCTTGTATTTTAAAAACCAATGCTCTGTTAGTCGTACTATTTTATCGGATCTAATCTACAGATCAAATTACAAATGTATACCTTAACTACTCATCTTTTGTAAATTCATATATTACTTAGTTGAAGTATGAAATTCTGATTTCTTTCATATTGAAACAGGTCAGTATAGTTATTTTAGGGTTTAGCTAGTCATTTCACAAATTTACGGATTTCACAAAGTAATGCTATATATGTATATGACTATATAAATAGTAATAACATTAATCATATATACGTACAAATTTGAGAAATATAAATTATTTTTTAATTTTAGTTAATGACATATTATAAGTTATATATAATGAAACATAATAAGTTTATGAAATATTTTATACATACTCCAATACGATTAGTGTTTATGCCACTCAATGACAGTTTTTTGAATATATCATATATAACTCTTTATAAGATGTCGCTACGTGTAGTTTATCGCAATCAGCAATAAAAGAAATGTGTGTTTTCTTTTGAACAAATAAATCGTTGAAAAGTATGGCGTCATATAGTTTATAAACCTGTTTTATGGATTAGTTTCAAGAAATGATATTTTTAATGTACTTCGATGACTGTCTATACATTTTTCATAACTTGAAATACCGAGTGTAAAATACATTAAATTTTTATATAAACATCTTATTAAATTCTTAAGTTCTGAGATTGAAGTGCATGTGTATATGGTTATTTAATGGATTTTCCAAAATCTTATGATTCTTCATAATATATATGAATATTGTATCTATATGCATTGAAAATATTTGAGAAAGAAATAATTTTCAAGAAATTGTCATTATGGCATCACCAGCCCCTAAATCTCCCGAACAATCAGAACGAAATAGAAAATATGATCGACAGTTGAGGTATTTAATAAATAACTGTAAAATTTGTTGAATATTATAAACAAATTTTTCATAATTCATTCAAAATTTGTATTTCTTCCATATTTACGTACATGCACATATAGATACCTAACATACACATATTTCTTATATTTTTCTATTATTGTATACGTTTTATCTTTAGTACTTTCATATATTCATTATATTATGTTTTATCAAATTTTTAGGTTATGGGGAGATCATGGTCAAGCTTATTTAGAAGCGGCACATATTTGTCTTATAAATGCTACTGGATTGGGAACTGAAATTTTAAAATCATTAGTTCTTCCTGGCATTGGTGCATTTACTATTGTGGATGGAAAAAAAATAACAAATGAAGATATTGGAGCAAAGTACGTGACAGATATTTAATGTACATTTAAATTCTATTTTTTTCTTTTTATTTATTCATTGGATTTATCTGTTTAGCTTTTTTCTAGAAGCAGATAGCGTTGGAAAATCAAGGGCTCAAGTTGCGACCCAGATGTTATTAGAGTTAAATCCTGATGTCAGAGGTGATTATATTGATGAAGAACCTCAACAAGTTTTATATAATAGTCCGGATTTTTTAAATAACTTTACAGTAGTAGTTGCTACTTCATTAACAGAAAAGTAAGTATTAAACTAAAAAATTAACTTATTAGATACTTAAATAATCAATGAAAATATTTTTTCTTTCATATAATTTTTATACAAATTTTTCTAGGTGCTTAGTCCTTTTGTCAAGACGACTTTGGGAGTTAAATATTCCCCTAATAGTATGTAGGAGTATAGGCTTTATTGCTTATATGCGAATTCAAGTTAAAGAACATACTATAGTGGAGACACATCCAGATAATGAGACACCAGATTTACGTTTGCATAAACCTTTTGGAACTTTAAAAAAGCACTTAGATTCTATCGATCTTGACACATTGAGCTTCAAAGATCACTCTCATATGCCATATGTTGTTATTTTATATAAGTATTTATCAAAGTGGATTTTGAATCATGGAAGTTTGCCAAAGACTTACAAAGACAAACAACTATTGAGAGAAATGATTAAAAAAGGAATGAGAAAAGATGAACAAGACGTATTAAATACTGAAGAAAATTTTGAAGAAGCGATTAAAGCTGTAAATACATGTATAAGTTGTACTGAAGTTCCTGATAGAGTTAAAAATATTTTAAATGACGAATGTTGTATAAATTTAACAGCAAAGGTATTATTAAAAAAAGTTTTTCTTTTGAACTTACTATCAATTTAAATTCTGCAATAAAAATATTTTAACTGATGACCTAATGTATTTTAGAGCAGTCCATTTTGGATCATTGCTAAAGCAGTAAGAGATTTTGTTGATAATGAAGGTTGTGGTTCGTTACCGTTAAAAGGAACTTTACCAGATATGACAGCTGATACAGAGAAATATGTAACTCTACAGCAAATGTATGACTTTAAACGAATATGATTGATTTATATAGTGTTTTTGAATAATTACATAATGTCTATAATATTAATCTTGGTTTCATCTACTTTTAGTTACCACAAGCAAGCATTAGCTGATGTAGAAGCAGTGTGGAGACGCACACTACAATTGCTACAACAGCTAGGTAAATCTTCAGATTCAATATCTGAGAAAGACGTTAAATTATTTTGTAAATATGCTGTAGATATTTATGTAGAGAGAGGAACTTGTATAGCTGATGAATATGATCCTAAAATTATTAATACCAATAATATAGGTAAGCAACAAAGAAGAAAAATATATATGTATAGCTTTTATATATGTTTTTATCTTTAACTTTTTTAAGATATCACTTGTGATATACAAGAATATATTAGATGTAATCATTATATGTACTTTTTTAGTGGACAATTTGGAGAATCCTGAAAGTTTAATGGTGTATTATGTTGTACTTAGAGGAGTTGAAAAGTTTCAAACAGAATATAATTCATATCCGGGTGAGTTTGATGATCAAGTCGAGCCTGATATTGTGAAATTAAAGGTATGTAACATTATTTTAATTCAGCATAGGATATAATATATTACAAGAAAAAATGCAATATTAATTATATTATAGGCTTGTATTACAAAATTGTTGAGTGAATGGGGGTGTGGATCGTTGGCAAAAGATGATTACGTTCATGAATTTTGTCGATTTGGTGGCGCTGAATTACACTCGGTTTCTGCATTTTTGGGTGGATTGGCTGCTCAAGAAACTATTAAATTTATTACGAAACAGTATAAACCTCTTCATAACACTTTTATTTATGATGCTGTGACATCAAATTCTAGTACATTTTTTGTTTAGAAATAATTATTTTAAACACACGCATATACATATACATAAATATACATCTGTATTAATTGAAGAATACAGTTTTGTAGTTAAGTGTTACCTTTATGCTTTAATTGTCACCAGACACGCGCATTTAAAAAATTTTTAAATAAAAAAATAAAAAAACTAAAAAAAAATTTTTAAATTTTTTTTTTTTTTTTTTTTTTTTTTAAGAATTGATGAAAATATATTTAAATATAAATTTACTATTAAATTAACTAATTTTACAAGAACAGATATTATTGAGAAGTATCTATGTATATATATATTTTTTTAATACATCAATTAAAAGTATTCAATTTTCTCTAAAATTATATTTTGATTTAAAATTTGTATTTTGTTATTATGGGAAAATATATCTAACTCGAAAAAATCATATCTAATTATTATTTCTATATTTCAAAGATATTATACGTTTGTTTATAGCTATAATTATAAAAAGTAATTTCAAAATCATTGCAAATTACTGATTATGAATATTATATTAAAATCTAATGATTAGATAAGTATATATATAAATATATCAAATAATTATTTCTAATAATCAATATATACAGTCAAATTATACATCAGATTAATCTTTTTTTTGATCGTATGAATTAAGTATTTTTTGTACAAAAAACCTAAATCAATTTAGATTTTGTCCATGCTGTTCATGTTCCCATATATTGTTCATCAGAATATCTGATATTGTGCTAGTAACGCATAAATCATTATCCAGAAAATTAATGTAACAATAATAGAAACAAGAAATATAGTTTTGAGTTCATGCCAGGGATTTTCTGGTACACCATGGGTTCTCCAGTTTTTGCAACCACTATTTTGACATGGTATACTTCCTGGTTGCACAACTGTCAATGTTGCGACACTCTGTGTCGGTGCGACCACGTCCATTTCTTTTAATTCCATTGCATTGGTATTCTGAACATTTGTTTTAATACTTTCAAATATTGACGAATTATTGTTGTTTATCTGTAAAAAGAAGAATAATAAATATTTCCCTAATATTCGTTAGTACGTAGCTAAATACATATTTTGTCTATAAATTCTTTATTTTTTTTGCGGAAGACTATAAAAAAGGGGTTAAAATAAGTTTTATTTATAGAATTATAGGCATTACATTAAACGCCTAAGCTATTTTTAGTTTAGAAAAAATGTTAAATTTTTTTTTCTTTTTTTTATATATAGACTATAATTAAAAATAGAAAACAAGTAAGAGAGATATGCAAACAAGTTTTTTTTCAATAACGATATTACGTGAATAGCTATACAAGAATATAATTTGTAATGATTATCTAAGAATCATAAATAAAAGGAGGAAATAGGATTACGTGGGTATCTGGAATTGGTTTTTTTCGAGGAAGAAATTCTTCAGGAATTGGTGTCGGTTGATAAATCGAAGTCATTATTTTCGTCGGGTCAAAATATGGGTAATCCCACGCAGTTTTAGATGACGACATAATTATTAACTGTAAATAAAGTTCTATTTCAACGAAGAAATCAATTTACAAATCGATTTAAAAGTTAAATAATTATTATGCATTAGTGCGTCATTGAATAAATTTTACAGTAAGAATACAATGGAAAGTATTTTTATCAAGAAAGACATTTAAAATTATGATGTGTAACGTCAGCAGTGTAGTCTTAGGATTTCACATATTTCTATTATTTGCAATTTGCATTAAAATTTCGCGAACGATAGATATGCCAATTTTATAACTTAAAACTGCTAATACCTTGAAATATCATTAAATATTACTTGAAAGGCTTATTATGTTCACTAGAACTAGGAATATAATCTCCGAAGATCGGTAAAAATTCGATAGGTATTCATTTGTAAGATCTATTACGATGTCAAAATGAAATCGATCTTTTTTTGTTCAACGCTATATTTTTTCTTATGCGTTATCATTTTATTTTGCCTATATAAAGAATAAATTTACATTTCGAAAAAAGAAAAAGAGAAGATTAGAACCTTTTTATATTTTTTTACATTACATCATTTATATATTCGGTATAACTATTATCAATAAATAATGTTAAAAATAAACCGATCTATTAATTTTAATATTTAATCGAAAGTTTTTTATCGTTTTATTCGAGGAAATATACATTCATATCTTTTTTAAACATGTGTATACGAGTTCATAAAAAAATGAGATAAATCATAATAGATACATCTTGTCCTCTATGTTATATGTCTTCACGTACCTATATCACATTTTAATAAAAAAGAAAAAAAAACACGATAATAATCTCCATTAAATCCTCCATTAATTTACCGATCACGTAGTAATTACTCAAACGGTAGAGATAAATATCGATTGATATTATAATCACATTTTTATTACATTAGAATCATAACGATGTTCACATTTTTTTCAGAAATTTTATTTGTTTTATAGTTTGAAGATTTAGATCAATTTACTGTAGTCACGAAAAACATTATCGAATTACAGATATAAAATGTACTTATAACTAAAAAAATTAAATTAAAAAATTTGATTATAAGCTGTGATCACTGTGATTGGAAAACTAAAATTCTTTAGTTGAGAGCAACTGTTAGCAGTCTAATAATTCTTATCTGCCTCGACCTCTGGTACCTCTTTATCAATTATGTTTTTTTTTAGACGTATGTGTATTGGATTAAATATAGATAAATATTAAGTTTCCGTAATATAGGTTTTTTTTTATAAACGCGTAAAGGTTTCAACTGAAAACAACAAATCAATTAGAGATCAGCCGGTTGACAATAAAGGAAGTAAATTCGTTTAAAAGTTGCGCGTTCGCGATAACGTTATTATAAATAAGATTGTACCGTTTAATTTTTGCACCTGAATCGAACGCTTGTTCCAAAACGATTGAATCTAATTGGTTTTCCTTCGTCGTAACGATGCGTTCACGATAAAATATTCATGGTAGAAATATTTATTCATCTAACATATGTGAATTCCCTGTTTGTTGTGACCTTGTGGCGTGTAGCCATGCATAGCACACACATTTATATAAATTGCTTTATAAACATCTGGTATAATCATTAATCATAAGAATATTATTCTATTACGATTTTAAAAATAATTTAATCATAGGATATATTATTTCCAAAATATAAATAAAAACAGGAAAAAAAAAAAAAATTAAATAGAAATAAATATTAAATATATGTCGATCTTACCTGTTGCGGATGCCAGGTACGTTTAAAAAAAGTCCTGAAACACTTCATTTTCATTCCAGAGAATTAGTCCATTATTGCGTAAATTATTTACAACATTGTTTATGGCCTTTATTTGAATATTATTAATTTATTTTTACATTAAACTTTTAAAACGTGAATATCGATTAGGATCATAAATTAGTTGCCTCAATGATTTACACGATTTTCTTATTATTACTTCACTATCATTATATTCAAAATTATCTCGTTATATAAGAATATCGCAAAAGGCTTTCATTAACCAATATCCTTTACTCTTACTATTCGTTTACTGAATCGTACAACCTGTTGAATACCACATATTACAAAATCATTGTTGTGAAAATCTTGATCCTTTTCTTTTCGTTTTATTGACGCAATATATACAATGCAATACTTTGATCACTTCTTTTGAACAGGTTTTTATCATCGTGTTTTTTAAATTTCCCGCTTTTTTGTTTAAATTGTAAGGAACGCGGTCATTGAACGTTTAATTCACAATTAGCGAAGTAACTTCAATTTATGAAATTTTATATTTGAAGTACATATAGAATCGAAATATTAACAATAATAATTACGTTGAAATCGAGTTTAATAATGTTTTTAGTTTCTTAAATTGTGATTATACACGCTAAATGGACACGTTAACTTTTCGAGTATATATTGAATCCTTTAATGACATTCCATGCCGCGCCTTAGATTGTGAAAGTTCTATATATACGATATATTGAAAAATTCGAAATTTCTTAAAAGAACGTAAGGGGTATCGTTTTCTGTAGATACGTTACTGATTGTCTTTTGACAGAATATAATTCCAGTTTCTACCAGCGTTGGCGCTGTAATATGTTTCTTGTAAACTGACAACAAAATTCATAAAATGCATAATTATCGCGGGTAAATTATGTAACTAATCAAAAACATGACTGTAATGTATACTTCATACAATTTATTTTCTTGCACAATATTATAATTTGCTATTGTATTAGAGTTGAGAAAAGACATTCAGTTTCTTTATCTTTTCCTTTTTATATATATTAATAGCGTATTTTTTATTTAATTATTCGAATAATTTTTATTTTGTGTATCTATCGATAATGAGATCGATCGATATATGACAACTCGAACGGATAAAATCGAATATGAATATAAACGTCCATGAACCATAAAAAACGAACGGCTAAAACGACATTAACCTTTTCTTACGATCAGCTGTCTTTGACATTAGATCCTATGAAAACATTAGTAAATAAAAATGTGAATTATAAGTTTTTATATAAAAAGAGTGAGATAGAAGAAAATAATAATTATTCATGATGATTGAATAATACGAAAATGAATGAAATAACAATTGTACTATAAAAGAAATGGAAATGGAGGTGATTAAGGCAGAATTTGATGTGCCAATAAAATATATGAAAGTTATAGATAATAGAATTAGTTTGACAGTACATCGAAATTGGTTGGCAAGTTTTTTTAATACTGGACCAATATCGTTTATCACTCATGATAAACTCACATTGGATGAAATTGCAGCACAACCTACGTTAGAAGAATTGGGATCTGACTGGACTAGAATTTATGCAAAAGTATTTTTATTAATTTCTTTTTTACTTCTTTTAGATTTCATTAAACAAAGTTATTAATGTTTATTTCTATTTTAGGTCTATATAAAACAGTATAAAAATGCTATTCCTCTTCCTAGAGGAAGACGTACAATTAATACCAAAACTCAAACAGAACTGACTTTCTCGCAGTTATTACATTATCTTTCAGAAACTAACTATCGGAATTTATGGAAAGAATCTTATAAAAAATATTATAGTATGTTCTTTTAAATAAAATTATTTTTTATATCTTTAGTCTATAATTGTTATTTTGATATTATTTTTGTAAGGATTTAAGAAATATAAATTTTTATTTTTGAGCAGATCCATGGAGTACTATTGAACAGAAAGAACAATCTATTGTAACTTTGAATACAACTGATGTAACTATTCTGCAAGAAGTAATAGCACGAGTATATGGTTGCAGTTTAATACATGTACAAGATAAAATAGTTTATTCAGTATCATCTGGCCTAACAACCGAATCTCATTGCAATCTTCTTCCAGCACTTTTTGCTGTCGAAACAATTAATGCTTTCATAATTTTTTATGAACAAACTGCAAAATATTCTCTCAGAGAGTAAGTACTTATACAACGATATTTACATAATTTAAAGCAATAAGTGTTTTAATAATTTATAAAATTGTCACATTTATCTTTTACAATTATTATTTAATGGAATATAAATTTCAGATGTGTAATGTATAGCCCAGCAGCCTTGAGTACAAGTCATGGAAAACCATTGTTTTTAATTTATCAACTATTGAGATTATCTAGAGATTTACATGATCTTGGATTAGTATTAGGTGAAGTGACACTTAGTGATATTTTGCTTATGGAAAATTTTACTATTCAGGTGAAATTATATCTTTATTTAATGCATTATCATTTTATTCGAGTGTATTACCATTTATTAAAAGCTATACTATAAAAGCAATAATTAAATTTATATTTATATAGGTAATACCAAAGTTAAGTGATAATATCTATTTAAAGCCAAAACTAGATTGTATAAATTTTACTACCACTGAAACAAATAAAGAAAAAAATCACAATTTGTATAGTAAAAAACGTGATTTAAATTTATATAAAAATATACAATATGGTAGTCCTGAATTTGGCATAAATGAGAGTATTGAGAAGTTATGTGAAATGTGGGTGTACAACAACATCAGTAACTTTGACTATTTAACTGCTCTTAACAATCTGGCAGGTAGAAAGTATGGTGATCCTAGTTGTCACCATGTTATGCCTTGGGTAACAGATTTTACATCAAGATGCGGTGGTAATTGGAGAGATTTAACAAAATCCAAGTTTCGATTAAACAAAGGAGATAGACAATTAGATCTTACATTTGATTCACAATCCACTGAGGTAAATAAAACGTATAAATATTAATTTCTTTGAAAGAAATATAAAAGAAAACATATATTTTTAGGTAGGACATCATGTATCGGATGTATTATCGGAAATTACATATTATGTGTACCTTTCTCGTCGTTATGATAAATCTGTTCTTTGCAAACACGTACGACCATTGTGGGTACCAGGAGAATATCCTGCATCGATTCAAAGACTACATGATTGGAGTCCAGATGAATGTATTCCTCAATTTTTTATCGATGCAAGTGTTTTTAAGGTAAATTTATAAAAATTCAACTTTTCACAATAATATTTGAACAAATATCAATAAAATATAACTATGTCATTATTTTATAAACATGATGTTGTATCTTTTACAGTCCATTCATGAAGATTTACCAGATTTAGAAATACCAGCTTGGGCGACTTCTCCAGAAGATTTTATCCAAAAACATAGAGAAGCTTTAGAAAGTTTTTATGTATCAGAAAGATTACATCATTGGATAGATCTAACATTTGGTTACAAGTAAATATCTTTATATTCTTATAATTATTATACGCATTACGAGATTTTTAGTAAATAATATATATTCCAATAGATTGTCTGGTTCTGCAGCGATAAAATCAAAAAATGTTTGTTTACAACTTGTTGATAATCATACCACCTTAACAAATTCTGGTATTGTGCAACTATTTACTCAACCTCATCCACAAAAAATTATGCCGTCCCCATATTGGGGTAAAGTACCTCCTCGTTTACGTTCATCTTTATTAATTAGCAAAAGTAAGTATTTTATATTTTTTAATAAATGGCTTAATTTTTATATAATAAATGATTGATAATAAAAATAATAAATATTAATAGGAACAGATACATCTGGAGGTAAAACTAGTGACGATGAAGGCCATAGTTCTGGATTAGAAGAAGAAGAACTTCCAGTAACAATATCAAATACATCACGATCATCGCCTCTAGCCTTAAGTCGATTTTTAAGTCGTTCTCGAGGTTCTCTTCTTACAGTAGAAGATAATACTAAATCAGACAAAACTTCAAATCAAATGATAATTCTTCCAAAGGATTACAATCCTGTTGCAGCTATACAGCATGTAGAAACAATGCATACCTTCATAAATAAAATTGGTCATAAGGTTTATAAGCCTGTAATAGGTTCACAAGATTTGCCTATAAATTATAAACAGATTGTAGCCAGTGGCCGCATAAAGGAACAGCAAATATTAGGCTGCTTAATTGTTGAAATATTTCTTTCTGGTAAATTTCGAGCTACATGGAATATTGAGAAATTATCTTTTGCACTAAGATTAAGTGCATGCTTGAATGTTATAAAATTATCTGCAGATAGCTTACCAAAGTGCATAAGAAATGCTGTAGCTTTACTTCTGCAAGTTGATGTAGTACCAAAAAGTTATAATATAGAAAGTACAGAAGTGAGTATTAAAATATTTTAAGTTTAATTTCTTGAGCAACATTACGTTTTATATATCCTTTTTTATTTAGATAAATGAGTTGTCCTTCCGATATCCAACTATTACACACATGGGTCTGCCACCACCATCTGCTCATCAATTTTTGCAGCCTATACTTTCTGGTAGTCTATTCCCATTTTCTAAATATTGCCAATATTTATATAATGTAGTTGAGATGATACAGGAATACAATAGTTTAGTCCGTGAACTAAACCTTGTATTAAAATTTGAAGAGGATCCAGATTTTGTAATTAAGACAAAAATAAAATATCTTTGTAAAATTAGTGAATGTAAAGTGAAAGCAGTAGCAAGAGAATTAGAACAATTATTACCACATATTGGTGCTGCTAAAGAAGGTAGTTTACAATTAATAGTACCGCATATACAGCAACTTATGAAAGAACCATACAGTGCAGTATTAACTACTTGGCATCTTTTCGATCCTATTGCTAAGTAAGCATAATTTTTGTAAATTAGTAGTATAATGTTTTTGGTAATGTGTAAATTGATAACAATTTTATACTAAATTTGATAAATATATATTTTCTAGGGCATTGGGTCCAAAAGAAACAGCAGATTTGTTTCTTTTACCTATAATGAAATTGTATGAAAATGGCTCTGTTATGGACAGTTCACCACATGCAGATATACTACATCCTGGAACACTTGTGAAATTTCGAACAACATTATTATATCATAGAAATTTTTTGCTAATACTGATGGTCAGATTAGGATTGCGACGTTTCTTAGATAATTTTATTACGTCACTTGTAGAAGCAGTAGGGGGTTATCGGGATTATGTTCAAGGATCGTGTATAAGTGTGCATAGAACAGGAAATTTGAAGTAAGTGTTTTACTATAATTTTAATTTTAAAGAGTGATAAAAGATAATTTATTAATTATTATAATAATTATATAAAAAGGAGTTGTGATCTAAGTGGAACATGTGGTGACATTGAAGGCGTTTTATCACCATTAGATGAAGATTCTTCTGCAGATTCAGAACATAATATATCATCTTCACCTGCACCTGCAATCAGTGATTATTCTCAAACCAAATCTGCAATTGACAATGATG